ACTGGGAGTATTATTGCTGTGGAGCTCTGTTATACACTCAGACACATTACTGGAAGTATTATTGCTGTGGAGCTCTGTTATACACTCAGACACATTACTGGGAGTATTATTACTGTGGAGCTCTGTTATACACTCAGACACATTACTGGGAGTATTATTGTTGTGGAGCTCTGTTATACACTCAGACACATTACTGGGAGTATTATTGCTGTGCAGCTCTGTTATACACTCAGACACATTACTGGGAGTATTATTGCTGTGGAGCTCTGTTATACACTCAGACACATTACTGGGAGTATTATTGCTGTGGAGCTCTGTTATACACTCAGACACATTACTGGGAGTATTATTGCTGGGAGCTCTGTTATACACTCAGACACATTACTGGGAGTATTATTGCTGTGGAGCTCTGTTATACACTCAGACACATTACTGGGAGTATTATTGCTGTGGAGCTCTGTTATACACTCAGACACATTACTGGGAGTATTATTGCTGTGGAGCTCTGTTATACACTCAGACACATTACTGGGAGTATTATTGCTGTGGAGCTCTGTTAAACACTCAGACACATTACTGGGAGTATTATTGCTGTGGAGCTCTGTTATACACTCAGACACATTACTGGGAGTATTATTGCTGTGGAGCTCTGTTATACACTCAGACACATTACTGGGAGTATTATTGCTGTGGAGCTCTGTTATACACTCAGACACATTACTGGGAGTATTATTGCTGTGGAGCTCTGTTATACACTCAGACACATTACTGGGAGTATTATTGCTGTGGAGCTCTGTTATACACTCAGACACATTACTGGGAGTATTATTGCTGTGGAGCTCTGTTATACACTCAGACACATTACTGGGATTATTATTGCTGTGGAGCTCTGTTATACACTCAGACACATTACTGGGAGTATTATTGCTGTGGAGCTCTGTTATACACTCAGACACATTACTGGGAGTATTATTGCTGTGGAGCTCTGTTATACACTCAAGACACATTACTGGGAGTATTATTGATGTGGAGCTCTGTTATACACAGACACATTACTGGGAGTATTATTGCTGTGGAGCTCTGTTATACACTCAGACACATTACAGGGAGTATTATTGCTGTGGAGCTCTGTTATACACTCAGACACATTACTGGGAGTATTATTGCTGTGGAGCTCTGTTATACACTCAGACACATTACTGGGAGTATTATTGCTGTGGAGCTCTGTTATACACTCAGACACATTACTGGGAGTATTATTGCTGTGGAGCTCTGTTATACACTCAGACACATTACTGGGAGTATTATGGCTGTGGAGCTCTGTTATACACTCAGACACATTACTGGGAGTATTATTGCTGTGGAGCTCTGTTATACACTCAAACACATTACTGGGAGTATTATAGATGTGGAGCTCTGTTATACACAGACACATTACTGGGAGTATTATTGCTGTGGAGCTCTGTTATACACTCAGACACACCTACAATATAAAGCTCCAAGAAGAGAGGGGCATTTGGATAATAAAGATGGACTAGTGCCCAAAATAGGGACTGTCCCTCCTAAATAGGGACACTTGGAAGATATGCTTCTGCCTTTTGCAGTTTTGCTTTTAAACTTACATTTCAGACTCTGTGTGAAATATCACAGGATAAAGGAAACTGTATACTGTCGAAAGCAGGGCTGGCCAACAGGTAGATCTCCAGATGTTGTGGAACTGCAACTCCCATGATGCTTTGCATGCCTTTATAATGACAAAGCATCATGGGAGTTGTAGTTCTCCAACATCTGGGGATCTACCTGTTGGGCAGTCCTGGTCTCAAGCATTTCATTTCCCAAATATTTTTATTAAGGAGGAACAAATAAGGGGGAAAAAAAAGTGTAAATTTATATAATTTTAATTATGAAATGTGTTTGCAAAAAACAATTTTTGGACTACAGGAGGAGGCTAACACAACTGAGAGCTAATTTTCTGCAAAGAGCGTTTATCTTGAGGCATCCATGAAGCAGGAAAAACCTCTTCTAATCGCCATTTAAAAAAATAAAATAAAAAAAAAGGTGTTTAAATAATTCCAATTTAGATATGTGTAATGGAGCTTCCTGTACCCCGGTTGGGTACCTCCCCTGACGGATGCTCCTAGTGCTCACCGAGGACTCCGAGCACTCCACCAGACACCATCAACACTGCGGTCCCCACGTCCAGCGTTATAGCTTGGCTGGGAACTCGCCGTCCTTCACCCACCCTGGACCCAAGACCAAGATCCAGCTTCCAGTGGGTGAACCTCTCCTACTCCAGAGAGCGTAGCAGGAACAGCTCTTAAAAGAGCTAGTGATTAAAATTCCTGGGGAGTATACTGATATAGCAATCCCCATTCCCCCACACATGAGATGAGACTCTACATAGGAACTCAACTTTCAATGGAGGCACACTGGCCTTATGCAACTTTTCCAACAAGGGTGACACTCAGGTGGACCTTGTTGGGCACAGGACACAAAGTATGCAAGCCAATAAAAACACTGTTATAAGGAATGACACTCCCACATACAGTACACAATCCCTCCCCTCTGCCTGTGATATAATTAAGGCAGATAGTGTATTGACTTAATTAACCTCAGACAGAAAAAACACACATTTGTATAAAAGAGCACAAGTACCCCAAAATACAACATATTCCCATAAATATCCCCTGATAGCCCTGATCTGGGTGAACAACATATCCAAAAATCACCAAGATCAGAGCAGGGGTTCAGGAATTTTGTGGAAGTCCCATTTTGACCGATCGCACGCATGGTTTCATGCCCAAAACAGTTCCATAGAATTAGGTTGTGCGGCCGGTCTATTTCCAACTGTCGACGTACCGTTCAAATTACCGAATTAAATAGTGAATGGACATAGTCAATGTGTGTCCCTTGTTCGTGGGCTTCGACTCACCGAATGCCGTTCCACTCCCGTTCGAATTGTCGAAGTTTCCAGGAAGTTAACTTTTCAGTAGTGTTCGTGCCGTTGCATGTCCGATTTGAGGTCCATGAACTCGACGACAAAACACTGCTGAACACTTCGACCAAATTAGATGGCCGCCGCCACGTGTTCGAATGTCGAATGGTGGCCACTTCGACTACTTCGACTGTTCAAAGTACTATTGTTCAGAGTCCAAATAGGGTTTTTCAAAATTAAAGGGGCCATAGTCACAAGGCATTCATAGGGAAAATTAGGATTACTGAACAAACAGATAAAATAAGAAATAAAATATAAAATCCAGGGACAGAGTGGTCTGTCACAATATGCTTTGGATAAAATATTCTGTTTTGTTTAGTAGTCACAGATCTGGTTCATGCATAACTTTTTTTTTTTTTTATATAACTTATTAAATCAGCGCTATGCTGACACAAATGGAGCGATGTTTTTCCTTAGTAATGTTAATGCATGTGGAACTCATTTCACATAATGCACAGTTAGCATTTAGGCTGCAGTGGTTATGGTGCCAGGAGTACCCTAGCTCAGGTTCCTGGTTATATGTCAAACAGTCTAGCAATAGTTTTTCCTCTAACCTGGTTCTCCGCCAGATTCCGATGCTCCCTGGCGGTCCAGCAAAGCCACCGCCATTCATTATTATTATTATTATTGTATTATTTATATAGCGCTAGCAAAATTCCGTAGTGCTGTACATTTGGTGGACTAACAGACACGTAATTGTAACCAGACAAATGGACGCACAGAAACAGAGGGGTTGAGGGCCCTGCTCAATGAGCTTACATGCTGGAGGAAGTGGGGTAAAGTGACACAAAGGGGATAAGTAGCGGTAATGAAATAGGTTGCTAGAAAAGTATTCACTGGGAACTTAGTAGGTTACATAGTTACATAGTTACATAGCTGAAAAGAGACTTGCGTCCATCAAGTTCAGCCTTCCTCAGAAATGTTGTTGCTGTTGATCCAAAAGAAGGCAAAAAACCTGGTCTGAAGCACTTCCAATTTTGCCACAAACTAGGAAAAAATTCCTTCTTGACCCCAAAATAGCAGTCAGATGTCTCCTTGGATCAATCAGCTATTACCCCACTAATTAGAAATTATATCCCTGTATGTTATGTTTTTGTAAGTATTTATCCAATTTCAGTTTAAACATCTGTATGGACTCTGACAAAACCACCTCTTCAGGCAGAGAATTCCATATCCTTATTGTTCTTACTGTAAAAAAACCTTTTCTTTGCCTTAGGTTATTTTTGACAGTTGCAGGAGCGGAGTCATGGGGGGAAGGGGGTAAATGAAAATCCGCTAACAGTATATATTATTTTGAAGGAGTGGAGAATGGGTGAAATTCTAATGGAGAAGGGAATGGAGTTCCACAGAAAAGAGAAGTGGAAACTGGGTGAAAGTCTAACGGAGAAGGGAAGGGAGTTCCACAGAAAAGGTGCAGCCCTGGAATATTCATTGGATAAGAGCGTCAGCTGACCACTCTCAATGAAATGAAAGTTGCATGGAAGTGACATTGGCCAACCTGGAACTCCGGGATGGCTGATGACACCATTATGGCGTTGCCCAAGGTGGAATTACACTTCGGCAGCAGAGGGGATAAACTCTGTAAAACTGAATATGCAGACTCCAGACACCATGACCACTTCAAATAACTTAAATGGTGATGGTACTTGAAGTAATTAATACATTTTTTCAGTCAGCAGAGAAGGAGGTCACATTTTATAATGTAACTGATAAGTATTTATTTTACCACAATTCCATTCAAACTTGTACATGTCCTTATACTGCATTTAAATTAATATCGGTAATCCAGGCAGACTGTGAAATGTCATTATACGACGATGTAGTAAAAATAAAATGTTTAACAATGTTCTCAGCTCTTGGATTTTCAAATAATATATTTAGTTGGCAGAAATATGGACTTAAGCCAGGATGTAAGCAAAATCTCTCGTGGAATTTCTAGCAATACAAAGTCTGCAGCCTCGACTGAAGTTATCAGATCTACAGCTGGGAGGAGTAAGCAAATTAACTTCACATAACTGCAACCCAACAATCACCCAGACATGCCTCGAACCTTCTTCCTGCAGCAACGCACACTTCGAACACACCGTTGTGTTATTTAGAGATAAGCCTGGGAACTTTGCTGTTCAACAGAATGAGTCAATGAAAGACGTATGCATCACATAAGTCCAACTCAGAAAGAAAAAGGTGTTACATACAGATAGTTTGAGCAACGTGATTCTTCTGTTGGTGTTCTGCTCGTCCAGCAAGCTGTGAACAAACTAACAACGTAAATAACAAACAGAACGGCACGAAAAAACAAACAGCTGTCAAGATAAAATTGCTCTGCATTGCCAATTTATTGTCAACCATACAGTCAAGCCAGTTATGTACATCTACTCAACATAAATCAAACGAAGAATGGAAGACTTCTTTCAGACCGCTTTCACAACCAGCAATTCAAATCTCAGTGTGGCATGCTTAGTGAACAAAGAATTCACTTTCCGTTTTTTGTCTTCGGTCTACATCATTGTCTTTATCATTGGGCTACTTGGCAATGGTTTTGGATTGTGGAATTTGGCCGTCAATTGGAAGAAGTGGACGTCTTTAAACGTGTTTGTGCTTAATCTTGGCATTGCGGATCTACTCTATGTTGCCACCCTCCCTTTCTTTGTCTCCTACTACCTCAACAAAGAACAGTGGGTGTTTGGCTACAGTTTTTGCCGTCTTGCACGTTGCCTCTTCCATGTCAACATGTACGCAAGTATAAGCTTCCTCACCTGCATAAGCGTCCAACGTTATTTGGGTATTGTACATCCGATGAAAATGATGGGACGCTTCCAAAATCTACGTCCCTCTTTTTATATCAGCATCTTGATCTGGATTTGGGTAATAATTCAGATTGTACCACACCTTCACTTTACAAATGCACTTAAAAATAATACCTTCTGCTACGATTCTACTACGAACGATTTTTTATCTATTTATACACCCTACTCGTTAATTATAACATTTACTGGGTTCTTAATCCCTTTTATTATCATAGTGATATGCTACATTCGTGTTCTCTCGGTCTTGAAGAAAAATACGAACGTGGACCCCAACTTGAAGCAAAGAAGTATCAAACTTGTCTTCATTGTTTTGACATTATTTTTTCTCTGCTTTTTCCCCTACTATACTTTCCGCAATCTCAATTTGTTAGCCAGAGTCTGGCAGTTGCAAGGAACGTGTACTCAGACCCTGCGAAATGTCTATGTTTCATACCAGGTGACCAGAGGGTTGGCAAGTTTAAATAGTGCCATTAACCCCTTAGTTTACTTAGTGACCAACGAGAACTTTATTTCTAAATTCCGAAGGATAAGAAGGAGAGCATGGCACAAGTTTGTCAACTTGGGAAGAAGTCAAAGGCTTCCAGAGAGTAAAACATTAAATGAAAATGTAAACAATACACTCGAGGAAGCATGTGAGCAATTATAACGTGCTCACATTATTTATCTTTTTGTTTGTCCTGTTTTTTTGTTTTGTTATGTTTTTCATTTGCTTAGTTTTTCTTTTTCTTTTTATATCACATCACTTTTTTGGGATGTTTAAGTGACAATTCAACTGATTTTTGTTGTTGAAGAAATGAAGACTGTGAGCTAAAACATTGTTACAATATATGTATATTCCATGCAGTATTAATTTTGTAGGAATTCGGGTTGGCTGTGATAAATGTACTTCAGAATTGTTTTATCTCGAAAAGATGTATTTACTGCCGTAATGCAGGACGGATTTATTTATAAATACAAAATAAATATACACAAATGCTTGTGATTCAGTAAATACATTATGTGTGTGTGTTTGTCTGTCTGTATGCATGTGTGCACTGTCTGTCTTTCATCTGTCTGCTTATATTTCTATGTGTGTGCTCATTGTTGTGAGCTTTTGTTTAACCATCAAGTTTAACTAAGAAGAGGATTCTATAAATAACACGTTGAGCAGCTTTGTCAAATGTACTGTGTGTGTTTATGTGTAAAATATTTAGAGAATTTGTACCAGAAATCGGTGCATCAGCTATTTATTCAAGAATTTCGTTGCAAAGTAAAATGATAAGCAAAGGTTCTGCATTTCAGTTTATTGCATTATAAAAATATAATATAGGCGTAATATATGATACCTCAGGCACACCCTTAGAACACCAGCTGTTTAAAGAGAGCTATGCAGTTGCACCCATAGAAAACCTGCTCTTTACAGAGATATGCAAATGCCTTCATGAAAAATTAGTTATATACAGAGAATTATGAAGGCGCATACATAGAAAACAAGCTGCGTACAGAAAGATAATCAGGTGAACATATTGAAAACCATTCAGCTTCTAATTCTTGTGCATACACCCCATTAAGGGGTCTTTATACACACCATAGAATTGCAGTTGTAAAATGTAACTGAATGGATCGTGATGTTAGAGCAAGTATCTATAACCCACATTGAAGGCAGCACACTGGCAATCAGTGTTACCATGTCACATTTAAAAGGTTATAAACTGAAAACAAATGGTTTATATTAACTATCTTTAAAGGGGGGAGCTGTCACAATCAAGACTTATGTTGACGTATCCTCTATATTTAACAAATGCGTGTCTCTGAGGTTTGAAACAATGAAATGAAAGGTAGAAATCCACGTTTCTCCATCTTAGCTCCTGTTAGTCATTGTTCTAAGCTCTGCCCTTTGCACCTGACACTCGGCATAGAGAAATCTCACAGTGAGGAGGTGAAAACAAACAATGTTTCTATCTTTCTTTCCACGAATGTAAATATGAATGGAGTATCTCAAAAATAGCTTGATGCAAGATTTTCAATATTTTATTCAATACTGTAAAGTCCAAAGGAATGACAAAATATATGTCTGTTTGTTTTTTAACCTTAACTGGAAATTGTGGAGAATTGACAAGGAAATTGCAAAGTAGGCCAAAATAGGAAAATTGGAGAATTCCTTTGTCCATTTTCTACAATTCCCAGTAAAATTAATAAAGCCATAGGTTCCCGAATATGATATTATTCTTATGAAACAGCAAGACTGGAGGCTTTATTGTCTGTTTACTAAACTGTGAAATTTTACAAGGGAATGTAAAATTCGGGGTGTGTTAGTTACGTAAGACAGGAAAGGGCAGAACTTTAAATAACTATGTTTCCTCAATATATATTAGCGGGGAACTTTGGAAAGAAATATGCACGTGATTTCTGCAAAAAAACACTTGGAGAAAAAATGTGATTGGTGACTCAAGACAAGGTGCTGAAGCAACTAAAGAAAGTTAATATAAACAATGCTTCGAGGCCTGACGATATTCAACCATGAGTACTTAAGGACCTAAGTGTGGAAATAAGTGAACCTCTGTTTTTAATCTTTAGGATTCTTTTCTTTGAGGCATTGTACCAGAGGATTGGATTAAGGTAGATGTGGTTCCTATATTCAAAAGTGGTTCAAAACGTTTGCCTGAAAATGATAGATCTGTGAGATTAATGTTTGTGGCTGGGAAAGTATTTGAAGGTTTATTAAGGGATAATATTTATGAATTCATTGGGGAGAATATTGTTATTAACAAAATTCAGCATGATTTTATGAAACACAGGTCATGTAAAACTAACTTAATTGCATTCTACAAACAAGGAAATAGAGGTATAGATCAGGGTGTTGCATCGCATGTGATCCTCTTGGATTTTGCTAAGGCGTTTGATACGGTTCCACACAATAGGTTAGTCTTCAAACTAAAAGAAATTGGTCTAGAAGAAAATTCTTGCTCTTGTGTAGAACATTGGCTTTGAGATAGCACAGAGAGTTGTCATTAATGGCAAATTTTCAAGCTGGACAAAAGTGGTAAATGCTGTCCCTCAGGGTTCTGTTCTGGGATCCCTCTATTTAATACACACATATATATATATATATATATATATATATATATATAAATGATCTTGAAATTGGCATTGTAAGTCATGTTTCAGTATTTGCAGATGACACTGACCTCTGTAAAGTAATACAATGTGAGCAGGATATTACATCACTGCAGAGGGATTTAGATAGATTGGGGGACTGGGCACTCAGTAAGAAAGGAGATTTAGTCTAAGGCAAAATAAAAGTTGTTTTTTTTTACAGTAAGAACAATCAGGATGTGGAATTCTCTGCCTGTCGAGGTGGTTTTATCAGAGTCTGTACAGATGTTTAAATACCTGCAAAAACATAAAATTCAGGGATATCATTTTTAATTTCTGGGGTAACATCTCCTTGATCCAAGGAGAGATATGACTGTCATTCTGGGTCAAGAAGCAATTTTATCCTAGTTTGCTGCAAAATTGGAAGAGCTTCAAACTGTTTATTTTGCCTTCTTTTGGGTCAACAGCAAAAATAGATGTGGGAAAGTCGGAACTTGATCGACGCATGTCTCTTTCCAGCCTGTGTAACTTTGAAAGTGGTAACCTTGAAAAATAGCTGAGTCAGTAAATATTTCATTTTGACTATTTTAACAATAGTCATTAATAACATCTGGATTCTGTCTTTTTCCTACTTTGTAAATATGTGCAATGATATTTTACATTAAACATTTATAAAAAATATTATCAGATTTGTGATGTGATTTTGTTTGGACCAAGGTACCATTTTCTACAATTTGCTTTTAAACGGATTAATGTTCCTTTGATGTTATAAATAAAGCACATGTTTTGCCTCTTACATCCTAAAATATGTTTTTATTTTTATAGCATTCTGATGTGACCTCCCTAATTTAAATTCTATTTTAGGGGTGGCAGATTGAACCTCATAAAATAATGGTCAGTTACTAAAAGTCCAGTAAATAACTGGGGCCCTGATGTGCTTATTGAAAAAGGAGCCTCTTACGTTTTATCACATTGCCTTGAGATTATGCTGATTTGAAATTTAGTAATAATTTAGAACAGGGCCGCCATCAGGGCATTACAACCATGATCCTGGGGAGGCAAACTGCTCAGGGCGTCCCGGGCCCCACATAACCTATGTGCACATATATATATATGTGCACGGAGGGCTCACGCTACCTGTATTCTGCAGGGTGCCCAGCACATTAGAAATATACTTCCCAGCTGCTCTGCTCTAAGTCTCGTGAGCGCCGCGATCATCAGAGCGTTGCACGGGTTACAATGGCTTGCAAGACTCAGACAGAGCAGAGCAGCTGGGAAGTATATTTCTAATGTGCTGCCCCCCTGCAGAATACAGGTAGTGTATTGCAATGTGATCTCCCCCCTACCTGAACACAGGTAAGACATGGCGAGAGGGGGATAAAATGTATTACAATTAATGGAAGAAAAACAAACAAACAAATACTGTAGGCTTTCCCCCCCCACATTATACAGCCCCATACATTTACACACACTGTACACTAACATTTACGCACACTTTACACTATACTACAACATTTACCCACACTACATCCTTACACAAACACACTCTGCTTTCACTACACACACTACTTCTTTACACACACTCTGCATTCACTGCACACACTACATCCTTACACAAACACGCACTCTTTATTCACTACATACACTACATAAAAAAAAAGTCCTGCGCTCACTCCCAACACTCCTGGGAGGCAGCAACAACCACAGTACACATCAGCCCCAATACATACAGTAAAAACCAAAGAAAAAGTTACCTGCACTCTCTCCTTAATCCCTATGTATATTTAAACAAATGGAGGTCATTTAGTTACTCCAATGGCCATTGGAGGGAATTGCTGCCTGCCAATGTCACGGCAGACCCCCTTAGATGGGTCCTACACTCAGGGGAGGGCTGGCAGCCTCAGACCTGGGGGGCAAATCCAGTCAAATGGCCCATTGCACCCCCGAAACAGCTCACCATCCATGCCCACCTTTTCCTGGTTTTGTAACGGATATTGATGTTATGCTAATCAGTAGCTCTTTGCCATACCCGCTCCTTCACGGCTCTGACTTTCAATGTTGTTAGAGAGCAGGCTGAGAATCTCTGAGCCTGTGCTCTGACTCACTAACAAACCACAAGGGAAAGGATATGATCTAAGGCATCTACTGCTGGTGTGCACCAGTAGACCACTAGGGAATCATTTAAATCAAAGGGACACTCCAGTGCCAGGAAAACAAATTATTTTCCTGGCACATCAGGTCCCCTCTCCCTCCCACCCCCCATCCAATGTTGCTGAAGGGGTTAGAACCCCTTCAGTGACATACCTGAGACCTCTGCCCACGCTCCTTCCCCGTTGACGTCATCCGGCAGGGGAGACCTAATGCGCATGCTGCGCACGCGCATTAGATCTCTCCATAGGAAAGCATTGAAAATGCTTTCAATGCTTTCCTATGGGGTTTTAGTGACACTGGAGGTCCTCACATAGCGTGAGGACGTCCAGTGACGCTATAGCACAGAAAACCTGTGCTATAAACCAGGAAGTGCTCTCTAGTAGCTGTCTAGTAGACAGCCACTAGAGGAGGAATTAACCCTGCAATGTAATTATTGCAGTTTATGAAAACTGCAATATTTACAGTTGAAGGGTTAAGGGTAGTGGGAGTTGGCACCCAGACCACTCCAATGGGCAGAAGTGGTCTGGGTGCCTGGAGTGTCCCTTTAATGTGCTGGTGTCCCAAACTTGTGAGCTGTGTTGGCCACCGGGCGCCTCTGTTGTCATGGCACTCTACGTGACCCCCCAGCTTGCACACCTCAAAGGCTGGCTCTGCTGACAGACACACTGGCACTCACTCTCAATAACACACACACACAAACCCTGACAGACAAACACTCACTGACAGGCACTTCCAGACACACATGCACACACTTCCAGACACACACGCGTACACTTCCAGACAGACAGAGATATACACAGACTTACCGACAGACACACACTCACTTCCAGACACACACACACACACACACACACACTCACTTCCAGACACACACACACACTCACTTCCAGACACACATGCACACACTCACTTCCAGACACACACACACACACTCACTTCCAGACACACACACACACACTCACACTTCTAGACACACACACACTAATTCCTTGTTGCTCCTACCTTTAGGAGTCCTTGGGGTCCTTGCCCTGGGGTCCAGTGACTTCCTGCTCCTCTCTGCTCCCTCGTGCAGTTTAGTGATGCGGGGCCGGAATGACGTCATATTTCGGCTCCCGGCATCACCAGAGAGGGCGCGCGAGGGAGCAGGAAGATCAGCAGAGGCAGTGCTCCTTTACCGCCGCCTACCTCCTTCCTCATGAACAGCGGCCGGTATATTTCTGCAGAGTAGGCACCTGCCATCTGGGACAAGCAGGTGCCTACTGTGCCTTGCTACCGTGCGCACTAGGTGCACCATTTTTTAAATTATTTAGGGCGGCCTGGGGGCAATTGCCTCCCTTCCCCCCGGCCCAGCCCCCCCCTGCCTACACTGACCTTTCACCTTGCTTCCTTGAGCTTCTGGCAAATATATCTCTAATGAGACAGAGAGGGGTATTTTTATATACATCCCTATATACTTATTAACCCTTAATAGGGAACACATGGGATGGGCGACAGCATTGTAACAAGGCATTGTAACAAGGCTGTGTGATACAAAAAGTGAATAAAAAAAAAAAAAAACAAGTCCTGTGCTCACTCCAACATACACTACATACACTACACAAACACACACTGTGCAGTCACTATACGCACACACACTACATCCACTACACAAAGACACACTCTGAATTCACTATCCACACACACAGGGCCGCCATCAGGGGGTGACAACCATGAGGGTTGTCACGGGCCTGGTGGCATTGGGGGGCCCGGGGTCCCACGTGTAGCGGCGGAACTGCCGCCGGTGCAGTTGCACCAGGGCCCGCACGCTGATGGGGCCTATCGGGTGGCCCACGCACTCAGGGGGCCGGTCAGCGCTGTTGCCGAGTAATAAGTGGTCACTTCCTCCCAGCTCACTCCGCGTGGGAGGAGAAACAGCCAGGCAGTGAGGGAGAGCCGTGCCGACTCCTATCATCCCCAGCCACCCTCCTGCAAAAAAAGGTAAGAAACAGGAGGGTGGCTGAAAAATGAGCTGTGTGTGTGTGTGTATGTATGTATGTATATATGTATGTCATTATGTATGTCTGTATGTATGTATGCCAGTAGCAATGTATGTCAGTATGTCATTATGAACGTATGTCTGCGTGTATGTGTGTATGGATGTCAGTATGAATGTATGTATGTATGTCTGTATGCCATTATGAATGTATGTCTGTGTATGTATGTGTGTATGGATGTCAGTGTCTGTATGTCTATATGAATGTATGTATGTATATGTCTGTCTGTCAGTATGTCTATATGTATGTACATATGTATGTATGCCAGTATGCCAGTATGAATGTATGTATGTCTGTATGTCATTATGAATGTATGTCTCTGTGTATGTATGTATGTATGTCAGTGTGTATGTATGTATGCGTCTGTATGTCCTCATGCATGTGTGTCTGTATGTATGTTAGTATGTGTCTGTCTGTCACTATGTATGCCTGTGTGTCTGTATATGTGTGTATGCCTCAGTATGTGTGTGTCAGTATAAATGCCTATATGTGTGTATGTCTGTTTCAGTATGTGTGTCTGTTAGTATGTATCTGTGTGTGTATGTGTATCTGTGTCCTTTTGTATCAGTGTGTGTGTTTGTGTCTGTATGTGTATTGGGTGGGTGGGATTTGGAGGCGGACCCTGTGGGCGTGATTGGAAGTGGGCCCCAGGGGGACCAGACCCTGAGCTGAGTTAGGGGCCTCAAAATTTCTGCTATATAACTTTATTCTGTGTATGTATTTTAATGTTACAGTTGGAATTGAGTTTTTTAAATCATGAAAGTCCTTAGGCTGATACAGAGATGACACTACACAAAGCATGTCAAACATGCGGCCCACAGTGAATATATTTGCGACCTGCATGCCCTGGGGCCACTTTCAGCTGTGGCTGTGAACAGCCACAAGACAGGAAAATGATTTCCTGATTCTTGCTCTCCTGACCACAAGAGGGCAGAGTGGCTGTGTGTCTGCTGTGCAGAGCAACCACTCCCCCTTCCCTCCTGCTCGCAGTGCCAGCCACTCCCCCTTCCCTCCTGCTCGCAGTGCCAGCCACTCCCCTGTCCCTCCTGCTCACAGTGCCAGCCACTCCCCTGTCCCTCCTGCTTGCAGTGCCAGCCACTCCCCCTTCCCTCCTGCTCGCATTGCCAGCCACTCCCCTTCCCTCCTGCTCGCAGTGCCAGCCACTCCTCCTTCCCTCCTCCTCGCAGTGCCAACCACTCCCCCTTCCCTCCTGCTCGCATTGCCAGCCACTTCCCCTTCCCTCCTGCTCGCAGTGCCAACCACTCCCCCTTCCCTCCTGCCCGCAGTGCCAGCCACTCCCCTGTCCCTCCTGCTCGCATTGCCAGCCACTCCCCCTTCCCTCCTGCTCGCAGTGCCAACCACTCCCCCTTCCCTCCTGCTTACAACGCAATGTAAGAAGGTGGAAAATAACTTCATCCAACTCCCAGCTGAAAAGCTTACGAACTATTGCCGTATTGAAACACACT